TGAGAATCTTTGTTTTCTTGATACTGAGCTTCAATCCATATTGAAGACTGCAGTCCTTGACCTTCTGCAGCAAGCGCTTCAGGTCCTCCTCAGTTTCAGTGAACAGGGTTAGGAGTTGGTTCGTTTAAAAGGTCAATAAAATCGACAAACCATTAGAAAAACTCACAAAAGAAAAGGAGAAGGCACAAATAATCTGAATAATAGGTCAATCAGGCAACATAAAACAGAACCAACTAAAGTTTAAAAAGCTAATATTAAAGTTTTATGAAAAGCTATAATCAAACAAATATGAAAACCTAGAGGAAATGGACAAATACTTAGAAATTCACAACCTACCTAAACTGACACAAACTGAAATTGAACCCCTGAACAGACCCATTACAAAAGAAGAAATGGAAAAGGTAATAAAACAACTTTCAATGAAAAAAAGCCCTGGGCCAAATGGTTTTACAAGTGAATTTTACCAAACATTCAGAGAAGAACTGTCATCAATTCTACATAAACAATTTCAGAAAATAGAAAAAGATTAAATTCTCCCAGATTCATTCTATGAAGCAAACATATCCTTGATCCCAAAGCCAGGAAAGGACACCACCAAAATAGAAAACTATAGGCCAATATCTCTCATGAACATAGACGGAGAAATCCTGACTATAATACTGACTGGCCAATAGAATGCAATGATACATCATAGAAATAATTCATCATGACCAGTGAGATTCATAACATGTATGCAAGGATGGTTCAACATAAGGAAAAAAATTAATGTAATTCATCACATTAACAAAGCAAAGAACAAGAACCACATGGTCCTATCAATTGATGCAGAAAAGGCCTTTGACAAAATCCAACATCCTTTCCTGATTAAAACACTCAACAAAATAGGATTAGAGAGGAATTTATTCAACATAGTAAAAAGTATTTTTGTAAACCCAAGAGCCTACATTGTTCTCAATAGAGAGAGATTAAAGGCATTCCCTTTGAGAACAGGAACTAGGCAAGGATGCCCATTATCACCTCTCTTATTCAATATTATATTGGAAGTCTTAGTGATAGCAATAAGACAAGAAAAGGAAATAAGAGGTATCCAGATTGGCAAAGAGAAGGTAAAATTATCTCTCTATGCAGATGATTTGATAGTATACATAGAAAACCCTAAAGACTCAGCAAGAAAACTGCTGCACATAGTTGAACAATTCAGAAAAGTGGCAGGATACAAGATCAACATACAAAAATCAATTGGCTTTCTCTACAGTGACAAAGAGAATACAGAACTGGAGCTGAGAAAAACAATACCCTTCACAATAGCTAATCACAAATTAAATACTTAGGAGTAAACCTAACTAGAAGTGCAAAGAATATAGTCAAAGAAAATGACAAAACATTATTACAAGAAACAAAAAGAGACCTGGAGAAGTGGAAGAATATCCCTTGCTCATAGGTAGGAAGACTCAATATTGTGAAAATGATAATACTACTAAAGGCAGTCTGCATGTTCAATGCAATCCCAATACAAATACCAATTCCATTCTTCAATGAGACAGATGGAAAAGGCAATCTCCAGTTTCATTTGGAATAGAAAGAGGCCCCAAATAAGCAAAGCACTCCCAAAAAGAGAAACAAGGTAGCAGGCATCTCACTCCCTGATTTCAAATCCTACTACACTGCCGTGGTGGTTAAGACAGCATGGTCTTGGTACAATGACAGACACATAGATCCAGTGGAATAGAATTGAGAACCCGGAGATCAGCCCATTTATCTATGGTCAACTGATTTTTGACAAGGAGATGAAATCAGTTAGGTGGGGAAATGACAGCCTTTTAAACAAATGGTGTTGGCAAAATTGGAAAAGTATCTGCAAAAGACTCAAGCAAGATCCACACCTCACTCCATATACAAAATCCAACTCAAGGTGAATCATGGACCTAGGACTAAAATCAAGGAC